CTTGATCACCATGTTGAAATATCTCCTTATTAACTTTTGGAAAAATGTAATAGGGAGCGAAAAACTTCATTTCGAGCTAGATTCTATTTGAGTTAGAGAGTGGGAACTTAGGGAGAATAACCACGTAGCTTGGTTATAAACCATTCGCATATGCTGTTATTGTTTGTCTAAAAACCCTAATAGCAGAAAGTCTGGGATGTTTGGAAAAGCATGTTGTCTATTTGACCACTACTTCACTTCATTAATGCTGTAGAATCGTTAGAGTAGTCCAGAAAGAGTTACGATTCTCTCCCCCTTACGCCCTCAGTTTATAAGAAGTTAGTTGTTTGTTGTTTATGTTTGGTAGTTTTGGCGAGTATTAAATGCGTTTATAAAGATATCTAAAACTCCTGCGTCGATGTTTATTCTCGCATATGTAGTAAAAGAAAATTAGTTAGGTTAATGTAGTGATTTCTTAGGTAATTATTGAGTGTTTGGTACTTAGTCTATGTGGATTCGAACTTTTTATTACTTGCTGCGACGATTGTGTACCCTTGCACGTATAAGAATTGGTAACATACATTGAACCAACAGCCGGTAGGCTCGCGGTCAAGTTGGGTCTTGTAGAGTTCTCAATCGGAGGGTTGAGAAGGTCTCGACGCCGAGCCCTAGTCGGCACCAAGCAGTGCTCGGCACCGACCACTAGTCGGACGGGGGGCCGGCTTGGGTCACTGAGCACCGACCCTCTTTCTGGTTCGTGCCTTCTCTTGGATCTTCCCCGATCTTCTCTCGCTTTGCTAGATCTTCTCTTCTCCCTATAATAGTAGCCCTCACTCTCAACGTAGAAGGCAATAAGTATGAGCAAAATGTTAAGGCTTCTATATTGAGAGTATATGGCACTTGGTCGTTTCATGGATGACTATTTTTGTGGAATAGCCCCTTTACCCTTTTGTCGCTTTGGGTTGTCGTTTCTCGGGTTGGCCTTCTTAGTCCCCCATACTCTTGTCGTAGTTGGCTGTAGTCAAGTGGCCTTCTTAGTCCCCCATACTATTGTCGTAGTTGGCTGTAGTCAAGTCTCTTGGGCTTTACCGTACAGTTAACTTTAACTGTTTAGGTTTTTACCTTGGGATCTAACTTTTAGTTGGGCTAGCTATACCACTCTTAAGTTTCTAACCTGTTTGGTTTTTGCCAATGGTTTTATACTCTAAGGTTTACTCTTAGGTTTCCAACCTATTTGGCTTTTGCCAATGGTTTTATACCTTGAGTCTAGTCGATACCCTTCTTTCGTTGTCGGTTGTCGTTTCATGGGCTGGTCTTCCTAGCTCCATAATATTTTGACATAGTTGGCTGCAATCAAGTCTCATGGGCTATGCTATACGGTTAGTTTTAACTGTTAGATTTTAGCCTTGTGATCTAACTTTTAGCTGGGCCAGCGGTACCACCTTTGGGTTTCTAACTTGTTTGGCTTTTGCGCATGGTTTTATACCCCAAGGTTTACTTTTAGGTTTCTAACATATTTGACTTCTGCCAGTTTTTTACCCAGAGTTTAATCAATACCCTAGGTTTCTAACCTATTTTGGCTTTTCCCAAATGGTTTTATACCCTGGGTTTCCTTGATTGATTTGGTTTGCCTGCTTTCTATTTCAACCTTGATGGGCCTGTACGCATACATTTTTCAGCACCTTTAGGATTCTTTTCCCCAGTTTCACTGACTGCTTCTAGCTTATCGGCCTACTTCTAGGTCTGTCACAGTTCGAGTTCATTGACCATTGTTACTCACCTGGCCCCCACTTGAGGATGTTTTATTTAAGGTATCAAATGAAAACTTTCTCAAGTACTTCAAGACTTGTCGTTCTCCCTTATGTCGCCTTCTTCTATCTGCTCGTGCTAACTAAGTGACTTCTCCTTGCCGAACACAATTTCTGGAGATCGGGTCGGCTTTCCATGTAACTCCTGCTGCTACGTGCTGCTGACTTTTGCTGTCGTGCAGTTATCAGATCTGGTCAGCAGAAAAGACCTAGTCGGTGGAAGATGACTAGTCGACGAAGTAGGCCTGGTTGGTGGAAGACACCTGGTCGACAGTAGAGACATGGTCGACAAAAGACATCTGGTCGGCAAAAACTTCCTCGGTCGAGACCTAGGGGTGTTCACGGGTTGGGTTGGGTTGGGTTGGGTTGAGGGTGTTTTTGGGACCAACCCGAATTTTCGGGTTGGCAATATGTGGAAACCAACGGGTTGAAAAATGCTGGCCAACCCAACCTAAAAATTTCGGGTTGGGTCGGTTTGGGTCGTCGGATTGCTTTCTTTTTCCTATTTATTCACAAATATAATGAAATATAAAGCAAAAGAGAAAAAAAAAACAAACAGAGAACAAAAGATGAAAGCTTACCTACTTCGAAATGAAGGAGAGGCGGCAGCGGCGGCGGCGGGAAGAAGTGGAGCGGCGGGGAGGAGAGATTAGAGAGAGAATGATAAAGATGCGAAGAAGAGGAAGAGATTAGAGAGAATGATAAGGATGAAAATGATGAAACCCTAGAATTGAAATTGAAATTGATGGTTCATATTTAATTGAAATGGATGGTTGAGATTAACCCAAAAATGTAAGATTTTAATTAATAATTATTATATATATATAATATTACTAATATATATATATATATTAAAAAAAATTACAAGATATCGGGTTGGGTCAGGTCAACCCGAGATTTTCAAAGGTCAACCCGAGACCCGACCCAACCCAGTCGGGTTGGGATTTTTCCAACCCAATCCAACCCAACCCAATGTTTAATCCAACCCAACCACGGGTCCATCGGGTTGTTGGGTTTTTTGAACACCCCTATTGAGACCTAGTCATGCCCTGGACCTAGTCATGCCTTGGATTCGGCCCTAGAGTCTGGTCATGACCAGTTATGTAGTTCGCTTGTCAGGTCTTTGCAGTAGCTTTGTTCTTCCATGGACCTCGGATGGGTGTAGGTTGCCTTTTCATTTTGTTGTTCGAGTTTTTCAAAATGAGGGTTGTGTTCTTGATACATTCCCTTGACTTTTCACAGTAGCCAGTTTGTCTTTTGGATGCCTTAGAACTTCATCAAGTTGCTTTCTCCATTCTGGGATTTGTTGCTCGTTTCTCCCAGAACCTATTTTAGAATTCGTCGATTTACCTCATCCAAGATCTGTCCTGAAACTTGTCGATTTGCTTGCTCTAGGTCCTGCCCCAAAACTCGTAGACTTGTTTTAACTTAGACCTCATCGGGTTTGAGCAGTTCTTCTTCTTCTTATGGGTTGACTTATCTTACCCAAGATCTGTCCTGGAATTTGTTGATTCGTTCGTTTTGGGCCTTGCCCCAGAACTTGTTGATTTGCTTTTTCCTCGTCTATATCAGAAAAGGGGAGCCTTCATAATCCATGTCGATTTGTTTATCCCTAGATCTCCTCGGATCAGAGCAGTTCTTGGTTAATTCGTTGCCTTTGGATGTTAAAATGATCGATTCTAAATCTTCAGTAGGTTTTTCCTTATCTCGGGTGGGTGATTCCATGTGATGACCAGGGCTCGGGTTGGCCTTTTCATCGCGGTCGATTGTGTCGTTCTCTGTCGAGGGTATCAAACCGGTTGCGTGATTTAATCTCATGACGTGATCTGTTCCCATCCTTCTGGTGGTTAAGTGGTCACTTACCGTAGATGTTGAATTACTGGCATGACATATTCTCACTTCACCGTCAAGACCTTGTCGTCCATCCTCGTTGATCTGATTAGGGTTATGGCCATGTTGCTCTCCCTGTCTTAAAACTCGTGAGCTTATCTCCTTCGGAATTTCATCGCGTAAGACTCGTCCTCAGTTCATCCCTCTTCTCGGATGACAATCGTAGTCGTAATGTCGTTGATTTCTCCAGAGTTCATATTGTTGGCTTTTAGATCTTAGTCGTCCCCACAGACGGCACCAATTATTGATACAGAAATTTGGCTTCTTGGGATTTCGCCAAATTCGCACCAATCTTCTACAATTAAAGGACGTGACCTGCAAAACATAATAGCACTAAGACTAGTGTGGCTTTTGCCACACGGGCTCCGATGCTTAAGTCGGTATCGGAGTAGTCGAGTATAGAGAGTAGAGTATTTAGGCATATCTTTAGGATTTTGCTTACTTCCCTATTTATAGAAGTTGAATCTTGATCCCTCTAGAGATTGTGGAATTCGAATCCTGATACATCTAGGAAATCTGGTTATTTGGGCCAATGTATCTTATTATGGGCCCGTCGTCGGATCAAGAGTCGGGATGTGATGGGTTCGGGCTGGCAGGCATCACAGTCGAGTCGGGTCTTCTAGAGTTCTCGACCCCCGACCACTAGTAGGCCGAGGGGTCGGCTTGGGTCGCCGAGCACCAACCCCCTTTCTGGTTTATGCCTTCTCTTGGCTCTTCCCCCGATCTTCTCTCACTTCACTGGATCTTCTCTTTCTCCTTGTAACAAGTGACATTTCTAGATTTGATAATTTTGAGTTTGTAATCTTCCTCCCAAAATTAAGTTGCTTATTTTTTTTTCCTCGTATCATTAGTTGCTAAAAAGAAAAAATCCTATAAAATTCTAGATTCCAAATAATGAGTTACCTTAATACCAACTCAAAGGTCGGTTCAATTTCGACTCTTGTAATTGTTGAATTAGAGAGAGAGAAAAAAAATCTATGCATTCTATGTAGTTTAACAAAAAATAATTAAAATTAATAAACCTAAAAGTTTGAAGGTAAAATGGACTACTAATAACCTAAGCTAAGATTGAAAAATTCAGATATAAATCGGAATCCAAAGAAAAGAAGCGGAAGTATTTCTAGACACAGACGGATCGATGATGAACGAAGCGAAGAATTTTTTGCCTGTTACAATCGAAATTGGAGATAACTTTTTTCCTCGCAAATCACAGTTTACTTGATCTTCGCCGTTGTAAATCGTTGAAACAGATTCAATGATCGGAATTCTCAAGGCGAAGAACACTGATCGATCAACACTCAGGTTCTCTCTCTCTCTCTTCTCCGTTAAAAGCTTTAAGTATAATTAAAGAAAGCAGACATTCGCCGGATGAAGCAAACATTGTTTAATTTAATTTTGATAATGGCGACAAAGAAGGAAACAGTATTCTAATGGTTGACCATTCCTCAATGACAAGGCAACCACGCGGACCATCGCCTTAAACTGCGCCGTTTCATCGCACTTCCTTCCCCTAATTGCTTGCTTCTCCTTTTTTCCGATTGATCTCAATTATTAATCTCTTTTGAAACTGAATCTGGAAATTTCTCTGGTTGTAGTTTGAAATTTCGTTTGGTTCTCAGCTTCCTTCCAAGACTGATTTCGGAACTAGGTTTGCCATTGATGTCCTCTGTTCTTTTGTTATGATTACCTCTAATTCTCAATTCTCTGAGTACATAGATGATTAGATATCTGTGATTCACGTTGTGGGCATTGCTATATTCTTGTTGCCTTTGGTTTGAGATGGATCTGGTATTGGGTAATTGAGTGGAACTTCGATCGTGGGAATTTCAGTGAGATCTGCTTCTTTGTTTGCTCTCTCTTCATTTCCTCTGGGTGTGAAATTCAGGGTTGGATTTGTATGAAAGCGGAAATGGCTCTCTTGTTGTGAAATATTATTTTCTTTTTCGTGTTGGGGTTTGGTTGTGACGAGGGTTCGTTTCCCATTTCTGATGCAGGGAAGGGAACATTATTTTCTGGTTGTTGATCAATCAGTGATTTGAATTGATGTGCAATGCGGAGGCGGATTGGAGCTCTTCTGTGTAATAGAAGAGCTGTTCAGGTGCCTACCAGTGGAAGAAATCACTTGTATAAAGTTTCTCTGTCTTTGGTTTTTATTCTGTGGGGACTTATCTTCCTCTTTAGCTTATGGTTCAGCCGTGGGGATGGCTGCCAAGGTACGCTTTGATCAAATTATTTTGATATCCTTGGTGAGAACTTGTTTGAATTTGGAAGAATTTAAATGGTTTACACCATCCCTTTACACATTTACACCTTCCTTTTGTGATTTCTTACTCTGCTGTTTTCAATTGTTTTCTATTGGTTGGCTGCTCCCTGCCTGTGTTTCCCACCATGTATAATTGGATTCTTCAAAACATTTGGAGTAATTGGGCCGTCCTCTTATCCCTTATTTTATTTCCCAATTCGTTGGTTTTGAAGATTGTTTTTGTTCCCATTGTATTGCATTTAAAATTCTGAAGTCAGTTTTAGTAATAATGGGGTTGTCAATTTTCATAACGCCGGCAAGTTGAAGATCTTGATTTATCTAATATTCCAATTTTAAGTTTGTTGCTCTATTTTGTTGGATTAGACAAAGTATATTTCTGTAATTGCACTCAAATAAAGAAACAACACGTATTGGTATTCATGCTTGGACATTTGATTAAATTGCTGTCTGAGGAAAAA